TGCACATACATTGTGTTGTGCTCCAAAGGATGATATTTTTTCATAACTAAATCAGCAGCTCTTAACTGTCATCTTGGAGAACTAATTTTTGTACATTTTTTATGCTTTTTTTTCTTTTGGAATTCAGCATATCATGACACCATAAAACTAAAGATTAATAACCATCTCTAATTGTCCTTTTTAGATAAATGCTGTGTCACTATTTCTTCTCTACCTGGTTGAAATGATTTCCTCAGGACTACAGATTATCTACAACACAGATGAGGTACTAACTGGTGTCTGTTATTAGTAAAGTATATACTGAAAGTTTCTCTTGGCTCTTACTTAAATTTTGAACTCCAAACATGACTTGTTTCTATATTTGTTGTTGGTCACTTGGTTTTAATGACTATCATTAAATAAGCTGGCTACATAATGAGTGGTAAAACATTACAGCTACAAAGAATACATGAAACTTGATTAGACAAACTTTTATAACATTAAGAAATATCAAGGAACCATAACAGTTGAAAGCTACCAGGTTCTTCTGGGATAGATACCTTCCAGTTATGCAATTCTGATCTTTCACCAGCGTCAGTGGCTTGAAAGCAAATTAAGATTTGAACGTCCTGTTTATTTGTTTTTGCATCACTGTTGCCTCAATCAGTGATAACAAAAGTTGCATGTATGAAAGAAACCTGTTGTGTCCCCACAGTGGCTCCTTTAATGTGTTTCATTTCACCATGTGACCTCCCCCTACCCCCCGATTGGTGGGGGGGCCCCACTGGCCAGGCTGCTTGACACTGATCTCCTGGGAAATGAAAACCATAGCATATTTAAAACCTCTGCCAATGGGAGGAGGAGGGGCAGGGGGAAGCTAGTGGCAAAATTTAAAAAGGAGCCACTGCAGGGGGTACTTCTGATGTGATTTACAGAGATCCCTCCCTATTGTGAACCACAGATCAATTATAACAGTGAAGTTTTATCCTGTCGTGAAAATGTTAGGAGAGCAGCTCTAATACCAGTTGCAAAAACATCCTTTCATCTGTCTGTCTTGCTTGTAGACTAGGAGTTTTGCACAGGATAACATGTCCAAGCATGAGCCATGTGCAAAAGGAAGTGTTTCAAGCTCTGTAAAGGATGTTTACAGAGATGATCTCACCCATCTCTGAAGTCTAATTGTTATGGATGATGGGAGGAAGAAGTAGAAATTGCTAACGTTGGTGCTCTATGATGGTAATTTAAACATTTTTGTCAATGTGGATGAAGTCAGTATTTCTAATCATACTTCTGAAACAATTTAGGTTTAATAAAAACAACTAGTAGTTTCATTGGTATAGCTGTGTATTTGTCAGGCTTCGCAACTCACGTAGAACACAGGTAGGTCTTTACATTAACTAATGTGACAGTTAAGAGATCTTGGAGTTGCATGGACAGTTTGCTAAAAACATCACCTCAATGTTCAGCAGCTGTCAAGGGCAAACACAATGTTAGGCATTATTAAGAAGGGATTTGTAAATGAATTGGAAAGTATTATTGTGACCCTTTTTATAAATGTATGGTCCGTTCATGCCTTGAATACTGCCTGTAGTTTTGGTACCTCCTTCCCAACTCCCCTCCCCCCCCCCAAAAAAAAAAAAAAAAAAAAAAA